CGCGATGGTGGCAGGGCAATGAGAGGTTTGCGACGTCCACACGGACCTCGGCGCGTGCAGCGCGCGGGCCAAGCCGGGGAGAGGCGATCGTGGAGGGTGCGCGGGTCCCGTCGCGTCGCCAAGGTGGCCAACTTAGACCATTTGGGGTGAGCAGCTTTGCGCCTGCCTTTGGCCTTTTTAGGGTGGAACTGGGGACCGTGAACCGGGCAGCCCGTGGTATGATTGTGCTGAAGGTGGTTTACAGGCCGTCGGTTTTGCAGCCCGCGTACCACCCAACGAAAACACTGCCTAGTCCTGCAGGGACAAGGTGGTGGTGCCCATCATTAGAATTTTTTTTCCTTTCGTTTTTTACCTAACATGCTACGTAGTGGCTTGTATTTGTGAGATACTTATGCAAAATATCACCAACTGCCAGCTGTGTGCGCAGGACTGGCGATAGAAGTTCTCTCTGCTAGCCAGTGGGGAGATGAGCACTTTCGACTCCTGTTTGCTTGGGACTTTGGATGTGTTGTCGGGAGAGACCAGGCCCTGGGAAAGGACATCAGACTGGGCAAAGTGGAGGGGCAGCGAAAAAGAGGAAGGCACAGGAACAGCCGTGAGGATCAGGAGGTGTTTCGGCCTTGGGTTGCTCTGATTGGGAACCGGTGCGTGGCATGTAACAGCAGCATGCCAGGACTAAAAACAATAAAAATTACTTCAAGTCACTGTACCAGGAGCCCTCTTGACTAATGCCTAAAGGCTTGGCTATCATTCCATTCACCGTGACTCTGTACAATAGGGTCGAACTGACCCTTGGTTTGTCCATCTTTACAGCAGCAGAAAGCCTCCTCTCTGTTGAGGAGAGGCACAGGTGGGTTCGAACTGCTGACCATGCCACCAGGGTGCCTGCCTTAACACGCACCTTAAAATTACACCAAGCCAAACTCAATGCCATCGAGTCAATTCTGACTCAGTAACTGTAGGACCGAGTAGAATCCCCTCTGTGAGATTCTGAGACTGTAAATCTTCATGGGAGTAGAAAGCCTCATCTTTCTCCACTGAGCAGCAAGTGTTTTCAAACTGCTGACCTTGTAGTTAGCAGCCCAAAGTGGACCTTACCTTACTGCACCAGCAGGGCAGGTTCCTTCAAGATTACAACCTGGGAAATCCCATGGGGAAGTTCTACTCTGATGCATGGGCTGGCCAAACCAAAAACTCATGGCCGTTAAATCGATGCCACCTCATAGTGACCCTACAGGACTGGACAGAACTGCCCTGTGAGTTTCCAAGACTGTAACTCTTCACGGGAGTAGAAAGCCCAACTTTCTTCCTGGGAGCAGCTTGTGGTTTCAAATTGCTGACCTTACAGTCCAAAGTGTAACCACTGTACAACCAGGACTCCTTCCTAGGGGCTGGCCACCTTGGTCTGAAATTCTCTCAACAGCACCTCTAACAACAACACTCACTTCTAAAATGATGAGGGGGCGGGCACAGCCAAGTGCCTTCCGTTCTGCGTTAATGCCCTGTGCTTTTCAACATTTTTCCTCCTTCCTGTGCTTTTTGGCACATCATAGCCCCTCACCGGATACTCTGTCGGCCTAATTCACATTGAGTATTTGGAGCCTGGGAAAGTTGCAGCTTGAGATTTAACTGCCAGGGCTCAGCGGAGGCCTGGTTCTGGTGCTCTAGAAGGTCTCATTGACGTCTATTGTTCAGCTCTGTCCTCGCCACACCTCCTCTTCAAATAGAAAAGGATGTTTTCACTTTGACTAAAAATAGAAGATAAAACAGACGACCATGGACGTAAAAATGATCTGCAGGCCGGTGTGCACTCTGATTTGTTCAATTTTCTGTGCAGCCAAACTTTGTTTATAAACAGCATACTTTTGAAAGCACTTTTATTTTTTTGCATGAACAAATGAGATCAACTTAGAAAGAATGACATTTGAAACCCTTATTAGGGGACCACTTCTTATTTTTTTGCATGTGAGAATAAGACAGGATATTTGGCCTTATGTTAGTAGATGCACGTTTTTAGTGGGTTATTAGACTAGTGTGCTAATAATAAATGGTAAGATTACAGCTATAGTACCTGACAACTCAAATTCGTTCAGGTAATCAAGCTAATCAGTTGCTGTAATGTAACTTGATGATTATGTAATCGTTTTGTATCTAGGCTAAGAGAAATACTACATCTTAGTGGGACATGCTTTTTCACGGTAGTTTTTCCTCCCTCTCAAGTTATAAAAATATTAAGATAGGAGAAGCCTTCAAAATGTTCGTGGAAAAATTGCAGTGTCTTTTCTACTTTTCCATGAATTTTCTGAAAGCCCCTTTGTAGGTGTTGTTTAAAACAGAGCTCTAATGGATTTGACTAAAGTATCTGTTTTTAAGACCAACAAATATTAGCAAAGAGAATTATGAGTAAGGCTGTCATTATTTTTGTTTGTCTAAGGTAAAATCTAAGATTAATGAATATTTCTAATTTTAAATTGAGTAGTTTTGATTTTGGAAGCTTTCCTCCAGAAACAGGTGCAGTATTTTACAACTAGGAGTAGAAATTATAAAGATGGCTTTATTTTACTTTAAATCTCTGTATCTCAAAATTTGGATTAGATGTAAGTAGTCAGAGGAGAAATTATAAGTGCTGGATAGCAAACTCTTGTTTTTGACCCAAATTTTATATACTAAAATTAAAGTAACCTCTTTAATAAGTTAAAACCGAAAAATGGGTCATGATGAAAGTGTTTCTTATCCTTTAGTAGGCCATTATTATTAGCAGAGGTTTATTTTTAATATTAAAGATTGCATTGTAGAATAACACCTTCACTGTAAGCACACATTTGAAACGTGTCCTTAGATTTACATGTGCAGCCCTCCGTAAAACTTCTGTCTTGCCATTGCCTCTAGTATTCTGTTTTCTCTCTTCCCCTCCTTCTGCTCAGTGGGGTATGCATTGTTTACTTCATTTTACTCACATCATTGAAAGTAGGAGCAACATGGAATTAGGTGGCTATTGCATGTGTGCCAAGACCCCCTGGGCTGATTTTCCGTGGCTTGAAAAAGCCGGGTGCCTCTGCTATTTGGCTGCAATTGCAGCCTCCTCTACCTTTCACAAGTGTTGCTAGCAACAGGATGGAGAGTCTGTCAGGCAGACTTGTTTGCAGTCATGCGTGTGCCCGGCCTGCGACCCTCACGGGGATGAGGACATTTTCTCCCTGGTGTGCCAGAAAAAGGGGTTTGGAGCTACAAACCGTCCTTGGAAAGCCTATGAATCCACCTCGAATGACAGTGCATCTGCTCCCTGGGCTGTCCTGTGGAGAATTTCACTAGGAAACCTTACCCATCCACCCGACAGCACTGATCTTGCCCCTTCCGACTTCTTTTTGTGCCCCAAACTCAACATTTAAAAGAATCACGAGTTGAATCTTTGGAAGATGCCCAAACAGCCATTTTGATATGGTATCGCTTGAGAAGCACAGGATTCTTCCGGGTAGGATTGGCGAGGTGGAAACGCAGGCTGCAGAAGCCTGAAGATCCAGGTGGAGGATATGCTGAGCAGCAGTGGCTCCCCTACCGATATCTTTGCTGCAGAGAGGGTTCTGGGATTTTGTGGCAGTCTTTTTTCACCTAACGTCGTGTGTGAGGAGGTGGGGGTGGGCAAGGGGCAGAAGGAAGGACTTGCATTCATGTCCATTTGAAAGTTATGTAAAATGAAATGAAGTGATGCCTTGTTCTGACCAGGATGAAGCGAGGAGAAGGAGGAGGAGGAGAGAGTGACCAAGACTCATCCGAGGAAGGTACTGCAGAGAACTCCAAGAAACGGAGGACTGCAAACGAGCACTCTCAGGCTTACGACTGGGGCAGTCTCCTTCAGGACATCATCCTGCATGTCTTCAAGTACCTGCCCCTTCTCGACCGGGCGCATGCGTCCCAAGTTTGCCGCAGCTGGAACCAGGTCTTTCACATGCCGGACCTGTGGAGGTGTTTCGAGTTTGAGCTGAATCAACCAGCTACGTCGTATTTGAAAGCTACACATCCAGAGCTGATCAAACAGATCATTAAAAGACATTCAAACCATCTGCAGTATGTCAGCTTCAAGGTAATAGTCTAAATCTTTCCTTTGACAAATAGCATTTTCTAGGACGCAGTTGCCCTGAGGTCGTCTTTAAGCCTTGAAGTCATCGGAAAACCAAACAGCAGTCTCGGTTAGCTGGTAAACAAAGCCTGCCTGAGCCTCCTGCTCTTCCAGGGACTCTGATGGGATCAGCTGCCGAGACCGACTAGAGCAGCGGTTCCCAACCTTCCTCATGCAGCGGCCCTTTCTTGCAGTTCCTCATGTGGTGGTGACCCCCAACCATAACATTATTTTCATTGCTACTTCATCACTGTCATTTTGCTACTGTTATGAATCGGGGACCCCTGTGAAAGGGTCACTCAACCCCCCAAAGGGGTCATGACCCACAGGTTGAGAACCGCTGGACTAGAGAGAGGGCAGCTTAGGGACTGGTGAGTTGATATTCCGCAGGAGGAACAGCTCCGAGGGGTGAGAATGTGCCATTGCTTGATGGAGTCAGTGCCGTCAGAGTCCCCATGGGGTAACTTGTTGGATTGGTATTTTTCCTGCGTCTATGCTCAATGAGAACGACAAAACAAATGAAACTTCAAAGCACTAATGAGTATCTGCTGTGCCAGAAACCAATACACCTGGTGTTTTTAAAATATTTGCTTTGTTAGGGAAAGTACAAGGATTTACTGTATGCCTGAGACACTGTCACAAATAATCGTGTTTTTTGGTGAAGCTGCCAATTTACACCCTTTTAACATAATTATTAATGTTTTAGTTAGCAGGATTGGCTAAAGAAGCATAAATCATTGGCCAAAGCTATCACTTATAAATAGGAGGAAAAGACATGTCTAGAAAAGTAAGTACAAATGGAGGGACGGTGACGGAGTAAAACACCATTGGTGTGTCCATCTAGAAACTGGGTGTTGCTTAGTGAGGACTTTATGATTTGGAGTCAAAGAAAAACTATATAAAATATTCATATTAATATTATTTGAGCGATAAATAGCAATAGGTTCATGGAAGATGGCTTAAGAGAACATTGTCTTTTCATTGCAGAAGCATATTGATAGCCATCAGTTTAAAACAAAAAAACGTACATGAACAAATGTGAGTCAAATCGACTGGACGGCAACATGCCTTTGGTTTTTGAGAACAGTTTAAGCATTACAGTAGTTTGTGAGTGAGTACTGGAACTTGTTTGGTTTTGATGTTGAGAAGTGGCACTTACTGAATCCTTAACTAGATACCTGATTTTCTGTAGCAGACAACTAAATAAAATTTGAAAAGAGACAACATGGATATACCTGTGTGCATGCAGCCTTTCTTAAACAGGCAGGTTGAATGGGCCAGGTAGGGCAGTGGTCCATACCCCTCAGCTCTTTGCCGTCAGGATACCCTGGCCTTCTCTCAGGAATGTTGTTCCCTCACAAGGGGCCTTCTGTGCTTCTCACCTGGAGGCGGAGAGACCCGGCGATGTGAGTGGTTAGGTGTATTGTCGTCATTTTATCAGAGAAACACACAAAGTCACTTTGACCCTGAAGGTAGGACTGCTGGATTTAGCAAATGAAAATACAGGGCACCTGGTTAAATTTGAGTTTCAGATTAACAATAATTTTTAATGTAAATCCCATTAAATATTTGACATACATGAAGGTGCTTCAAAAAGTTATTGGAAACATTCACTTACCTTTTAATTCCAATTCTCCACAACTTTTTGGACACCCCCCCATACTTAATATTAAAAAGTTATTTGCTGTTCATCTGAAATTCTAATTTAATTGGATCCCCTGTATGTGGTCTGCAATTCTATTTCTTGGTGGTGGTGGTTGAAATAAACCTAAGTCCAGGAATTCCTTCCCCACCCCAGCGAAGAAACAAGAGCTTTCCCTCAGTTTCCCTTATCTCTGAGCCGTCTTAATGGTGTGTCTGTTTTAAAACAAAAAAGTGTAATGCATTCATCTGGTAGGTCTGAAAGACCAGTCCCATCCAGTGGATTGGCTTCCTCAGTTTATTCACTACAGGGCAAAGTGGTTTGTAGAGCGAGCTATCAGTGTGGACCCAAACCAAACCCAAGCTCACTGCCAGCGGAGCCAAGTTTTGCTCATGCTGACCCTATCAGGGTAGAACTGCTCCTGTGGGTTTCTGAGACAGTAATTCTTCACTACGGAGTAGCGAGCCTTGTCTCTCCCTGAGTGTGGACCAGGGCTGCGCAAATGGCGTGCATTAGAATCACCTGGGGGACATGTTAAGACAGACATGTTTGAACCCCGCCCCAAGAATTTCTGATTCAGGTGTTTTGGGTTGGGTGGAGAATTTGTACTTTGGGTACATTATCAGCTGAAGGTAGATACTTCTGGCCAAGGGATCATATTAGTGCAGAGAAACATAACCATCTGTGATATTAATAGTAATTAATTAGTACATTTACTTTGTAATCGGCTCCTCCGAACCTTTTTTCCTTTTGGTTAAGCTAATGCACATACAATAATCTGGAAACTAATGATATTGCTTATTTATTGGTTTTTCTTTTTGATTGACACAACATTTGCTATGTCTGCATTTTTCTCTGTACATTTCAGTGATATTATTCATTCATTGTGTTGTGCCAACCTTTACCACTATTCACTTTCAAATTGTTTTTAAAATATTCTGTTGTCAGGTGCCTTTGGCCCAAAGAAGAACTTCCTTTTTTAAAAAAATCATTTTGTTCGGGGCTTGTACAATTCTTATCACATACATCCATTGTGCCAAGCACATTTGTACATTTGTTGCCCTCATCATTCTCAAAGCATTTGCTTTCTACTTGAGCGCTTGGTATCAGCTCATTTTCCCCCTCCCTCCCCGCTCCCCACTCCCTCATGAACCCTTGATAATTTATAAATTATTATTATTTTGTCATATCTTACACTGTCTGGTGTAAGAGAAGAGCTGGCTTACATCTCTAAGTGTGTATGTATGTATGTACAATATATATATATTGTTTTTGTTTTGTAAACACCAGGTCTACAAGACACATGATTGTAAGGCACTAGAAGACCCCAATATATATATTGGGGGGTGGGGGGGCCATACGGGGTGCATATATATTACCCTTCGCTCTGGAAATTTCTACAAAAATCAGTGTATGGGGAGCAGCTACCTCTCCTGGTTGTTTGATTCAGATTTTGACATCTGTTTCATTGTTGGACCCAACAGTCTTCTTCCCATTAGTGACATTTGGGATAAATGCTGGACTGTGTGAGCCCCTCAACATTCTGAGACAGTGGTTCTTAGTGCCTTGGGAGGGGCGGGGGCTGCGTCCCATCCAGTTGGTTCCAGCTTCCAGTGAACCTGTGGTTGAGCTTGTTGTTGTAGCCACGGTGTCAAGAAGATCTTCTTCTTTCTCGGCCCTTCTACTCTACCCAGCATCAGGTCCTTTCCCAGGGACTGGGGTCTTCTAGTGCCTTACAATCATGTGTCTTGTAGACCTGGTGTTTACAAAACTCGTTTGGTACATCATCAGATGCCTAATTATTTTTCAAAGATTATAAATTCATTTATCCCATTAGGTATAATGGGAATAAATCGATTTAAAAGCCAAGCTTCTTTCAATGTTAAATATATGTTTTATAACAAAAACTACCCTTACACTTTCTCAGAGGGTGATGTTTTTACCCCAAAGTTGAAGATGTATATAAGGAGGGTAGGTGATTGAATGAATGAGTAAAATGTTTTTAATTGAATCAAATTAACTTAAGAGCTGTCCCCCCTGCCACTACCACCACTTTTGAGAGTTAAGATACATCCGAAGAACTGTGATGGGCCATGCAGTGAATGGTGTGCTCTTTTTCAAGGTGGACAGCAGCAAAGAATCAGCTGAAGCAGCTTGCGACATATTATCCCAACTTGTAAATTGCTCTTTAAAGACACTTGGACTTATCTCAACTGCGCGGCCAAGCTTTATGGATTTGCCAAAGGTACCCATGGGTTTGTTTTATTGGCGGTTACTGAGAAATCCATGTGCGATTAGAACCATTTGTTGTGTTGACAGTGGTAGTCTAAGAGAAATATCTATGGTAGAACCTCCGTGACTATTTAGAATGCTGAAAAGAGATGGGTGGTTACTGTCAAGTTGCTTCCAACCAGGATGGCTCCCTGTGTCCACAGGCCAACCCCTCCTCCGTTTCCAAGGCCGTGACCTTGTGAAAGCAGCTGAGAGGCCTGTCCCCTGAGTTGCCCCTGGGTGGATTTGACCAGCCAGCCCTTTGGCTGGTGGTCAAGTGTTGGCCCCTTTGTACCTCCCAGGACATCCACATTTAAGATATAAAGTTTTTAACAGGACCTTTCCCTTTTGTATCGCCCCGTGCTGCTTCGTTGGTCAGGTTGAAGGGTACGTGCAGTTACACTGTAGGCATTGTATTTACATGCATTCTTTGATTTATCATCAAACACACATCCTGTTGTTATTATATGTCATGTGACTCCTAGCTTCTGTACTGGTAACAGAGGAATCCATAAAATTCTAAAAGAAGCTAATAGGTAAAACAGGAACAAGACAGCTAAAAAGGCAACACTGAATACATCTGTGCCCCTAACGTGGGTTGGGGACAATAGAATCAAAGATGGGCGGGGAGTACCGGTATCGAAGGCAGGACGAGCTTGCTTCTCTGAACTTCAGACTGAGCAAAGGCAGTGTCTACGGTTCAGATCACATGTGCATTTTATTAGTGAAAACAGATTTTTTTGTAATATTAACGACTTATATTCATACATATGGTCTAGTGTGCTTCTGCACATATTTAGAGATAATTTCATTCCATAATAATTTTGGTAGAAAAATTAGGGTTCATTTTTAGAAAGGTGCTTTAACTGATAATTAAATGATAATTCAATGTCCTGATTGGATTGGAAAGCTATTTTCAGAGTAAGTCACAAACAAATGTGATAACACAAGATATAATTGAGTTTGACCTGATGAAAGTAGTAGACAGATGCTACATTTGAAGTAATTAACCAGTTGTTCAATTGTAATTTAAAAATTTAGCCAGCTGTTTTATCATACTTTGGGAAAAGTAAGTCAGGGAATGTAACCTAGAAGGTAGTGTGTCATTAAGCTGTCTTCCTTGGCTGTTAGCCTGCCGGCTCCCGGCCCTTTTCACTGATGCCGAGATGTTTAAAGCCGTGGAAGGTTCAAAGGTGCTCTAGTGGCAGAGCGGGTTACACAGCTAGCTGGTCACGAGGTCGGCAGTTGAAACTTGCCAGCTGCTCAAAGGAGCCATGTGAAGCTGTGTGCTCCTGTAAAGATGTCAAGTCTCAGAACACAAAGAGGCAGCGTTTACGGTGGGTTGCCAAGAGTGAGAATCAGCTCCGTGGTTCGGTAGAGAGTGAGGTTGGGTGGGATATGGTGACGTGTAGTGGCGAGCGGCCTTCTCATCTTGAGTACCAGAGTTCCTCTTTTAGTTATCACCAAACTGATTTAGGGACACTCCCACAGGCCAAAAGGCTCTTCTCTTGATGGCAAGTAGCTGCCTCTCTCTTTGTCAGACTCAGCAGCAGACAAAGGGTCACAAGATGCTCTCTACAAGTTTTGGGAGAATTCATTAGGCTTCAGATAACTCTTATCTGGAATGAATGTGGAATGCTTTCAGTACTCATTGCTCAATGTTTTAACTTTTTCCTTTTCAGTCTCACTTTATCTCTGCACTGACGGTTGTGTTTGTAAACTCCAAATCCCTGTCCTCGCTTAAGATAGACGATACCCCAGTAGATGATCCATCCCTCAAAGTGCTAGTGGCCAACAACAGTGACACGCTCAAGCTGCTGAAGATGAGCAGCTGTCCCCATGTCTCTCCAGCAGGTATGTGGTGGGTTTATTACCAGATGCTAATAGATTTTGTTACGATACGTGGACAGCTAAGTTATGAAAAACTATCATTCATGTCAACTGTAAATTAATATGATTGTTTTAACTCTTTTGCATAAAAGTATAATACCCGAATACAGAAACGTGCATGTCATAGCATTCCTAGTGTGGCCAGTTTCAGCTTGTATTCAGTTTGCTTATTCAGGCATGTACTAGAAATTTTTAAAGAGAGAGAGAGAGAATTTGAGATCTACCTGAGTTGTGTCCTTAGGTAAAATAGAATATTCTCTGATTTTACTTGAGCTAACCAGGGATAGCTCTCTACTTCATTGCATTTTTTCTTTGGGATCTCTCACAGGGATGGGGAACCTTTTTTACTGCCAAAGGCCATTTGAATATTAAAAATGTTATCCATGGTGCACACCGGTTAAACATGGCTGGAACTGCTGCTCTTTGGTGAGGTGTGCCTATCTGGTATTGATTTGGGAGTCTTAGATGGTCCATGAGGACCCTGGTGGTCTTGTTGTTACAGGTTGGACTGTGATCTGCAGAGTCAGCAGTTGGAAACCACCAGCAGCTCCTTGGAAGGAAAATAGGGCTCTCTGTTCCCAGAAACAGTTACAGTCTTGAAAACTCACAGGGGCAGTCTGCCTTGTCTTGTGGGTTGGTCTGAGTCAGTATTGACTTGATGGCAGTAAGTTTTTTGGGGGTATACGGTCAGTGAGCCTGATGTTCTCCACGCCTGATCTAGAGAGGGAACAATTGATTTTAAGTTGTTGCCTTACATCTTGTAAGCTAATGGTTTTCCCAAGTGGAAGATAGGAACAAAGAGCCCATCAAATGGAGGCTAGGATGGAGATAACAGTATTAGAAGTGCTTTCCAACTTCTCTAGTATACTATATAACTAAGTTACTATGTAACTCAGTTTGAGAAAGTAACTATAAGCCTTTACTGCTTGACTCCTGATTTACCCTATGCTGTTGACATCCCACCCCATCCTTTGTGTTACCTGGCAAACCATTGATGATGATCTTTGTAGCTCTGGGTCTTACGTTAGGATTTTGATCCATCTTGAGTTTGTTTTTGTGCAGGAGATGAGGGATGAGTCCTGTTTCAGTCTTCTACAAATGGAAGTCCAATATTTTGGGCAGTTATTTCTTACGTGGTCATGATAACATTACATACTCCCTAATGTATTGATTTGCCGAGGGTACGGTCCAAACCAGGTAGCTTCATATTGTATAAGGTCCTTTGTATCCTGAGCTCTACCTCTCTCGTTAATCTTGTCATTTGCGGCTCATGCGCAATTTGTACTTGAGTGCTGTGGAACTTTTTTCTTTGATTGTTACTTCTCTGTGTGGGGTCAGTACCCTATACCCTACCTCACTCTCCAGCCCCACCTCAATTTTTTTTCCATGTACCTTTTCATCTCGCTAACGCCTGCCTCCCCCAAACCAAAGTCACTGCCATGGAGTTGATTCTGACATGCAGCGACCTGATAGGACAAGGTAGAACTACCCCTATGGGTTTCGGAGACTGTAACTCTTGAAAGGCTAGAAACCTCATCTTTCGCCTGCTGATGGTTTTGGACTGCTGACCTGTTCTGATCTCCATGTCTCCTTTCTGGATTAGATAGTCCACCCCTGTGTTTCCATAGCACTCTGAACCTAATGTGTAGCTCATACACTTTTTAAATTATTTGTTTGTTTTTCTTGACTTTTATTTTGTAATAGTATAAGCTATTATAGGTTTTGGACTAGTTGTTCAGGAACAAAAGAGAAGGAGTATACTTTAATTGAAAAGTATAATGACACATTTGCATATTTTCAGTCTATCCATATTTTGCATATCTGTTGTGTACGTTGTGATTGCGCCCATTTTTCTATTGTACTTTCTTCATTGAACACTATTAAACTTTTTTCCTATTACATATAATTTCTATAGTCGTCATGACTAATTCTTTATGCGTTGTTGGTTGCAACATCTACTCCCTTTATCAAGTATCTTGTTACCTGACATTTCATACTTATGAAGACAGGATTCTCCTCTCGGACTATGCTGGGCATTCACGACGTACATCTTGCATTAATGACTGCTGCGGTGTGAGGCAAGCGGCATGCTGGCTGTGATGCTTTTGGCCACGCGTGTGCTTGATGGGGCTGTTATTCCCAGTGGTTGGCGGCTCTGTCAAAATGAAATCTGGCTGTCGTATTGAAGTACTCGCCCCCACCTTGGGACCTGCTGAGGGCTTTCTCTTTCCACGGCAGCCAGTTCTCGCTCCGTGACCTGACCCTGTTGGTAAAGGAGCAGTGGGTGTCGTTGCGACTGTTTCTTCTTTGAGACCAGATGCCAGACTTTCCATTTTCCTCCCTGTTCCTGTTCTGCCTGTTTTGCGCGACCCTCTTTGATCTCTCTTCTTTTTCTTTGTTCTTTGTCTTCTTTTTAATCCTCTACTGTTGGTAATTCAGTATGTTTTGGGTTCTCTCCATCACACTCAACAGTCGGGTGATCCCATCATCTTCTGTGGCTGTGGTTACATTCCGTACATTAACACAGATCTCTCTCGAACTGTGGAACCATGCATTAATGCCTGTGGCAGAGCCATTTCTGACTGGGTCCCTGCTACTCCAGACCCGTGAACTGCCTTCCCAGCGCTCCCACTCTTCCCTTTTCATGATCTCACTGAATGGCTCCATCCCTCTAGCCGAGTCGGACCTGGCCGATGCAGACCCCCCTTGACTCCGTATGTGAAATGAGAGAATACCTACTTTCTCAAGTGAGTTTTGAATATTGTGGAATGATATCAAGTACCATAATTGTACAGTACACTGTGCGCTCTTGATTTGACTCTGACTGGGTGACGGGGAGTAGAGTTTACCCGTTGCTTTGCTGGGCTGGGCTTTTTCTGAAAGCAGAGCTCTGGCTCCTTTCTTCTGCGGAGCTGGCGGTAGGGTCAAGCCACTAACCCTTCCGATAGCAGCCCAGTGCTTAAACCCTGTGCCCCCAGGGCAAGTTGTAAACCAAATAATAGGTGATACTACCATGTATATTCTGTTATTCCTAACATTGTTTTTAAACACCATGGGAAAGTCATTCAACAGATAAAAGGTATCATTTTGAGCACTTAATATTAGACATCTTAACAGTACTTATCTATATTTCATACTGTACTTTTCAGTGCTTGCCTTTTGGGTTACACTCTTGGGGTACTTAGAGTAGGCCACTTCACAGATCAGATAGTGACTCTCAGTCAGTCACTGCCCGCAGACTCAGGACGGTGCAGCTTGTGGAGGCTCTTCTGTTGCTGACCTTCTACTACTGCTTGCTCTGCGTTACCTTCTCTAGGAACTGGTCTCTCCGTTTCTTATGTCCAGAGTACCTGAGGTGAAGTCTCACCAGCCACACTTCTAAGGAACTTTCTAGTTGTACTCAACCAAATTTATTTGGTCTTCTGGCAGTCCATAGTATTTTGGATATTCCTTGCCAACAATTCAAACGTTTTCTTCTCTTTTCCTTACTTATTGTCCAGTTTTCCCATTCATATTAGGTGACCCAACATGCCATGACTTGGACAAATGTACACTTTAGTCTTCAAAGTGACATCTTTACTTTTGAACATTTTATAGAGATCTTTTGCCCAATGAAATAAGTCACTTGATTTACTTACCGACTGTTGGTTCCATGCGGATCCATGTAAAATGAAATCCTTGACCACTTCATGCTTTTCTCTGTTTATCCTGATGCTGCCTATTGGTTCACGTGTGAGGAGTTTCGCTTCCTCTGTGTTGGGTATGGTCCATCAGTAAAAGGCTCCAGCCCTCTGCTTTCAACAAGCAAGGTGCTTCCTCTGCTAGTAACTGACTCTTCCTCCAGTGGGGATACTGCCTTCTTTTCCACGGAGTTTAGCTTCTCAGATCATTTGCTCAGTGTACAAATGGAGTATGTGTGGGAAAAGGATACAACCCTGACACACACCTTTCTTAATCTTAAACTATGCCGCATTCCCTTGTACTGTTTGGAAGACTGCCTGTTGATATATTTATGGGTTCTACAGGAGCACAGTAAATCTGACAGTAAAGTATTCTAGAATTCCCGTTCTCAATGTTATCTATAGTATGTTAGGATCCACACAGTCTAATGCGTTTGCCTAGTCAATAAGACACAAGTAAACATCTTTTTGGTATTTTCTGCTTTCAGCTAGATCTATCTGACATCAGCAATGATATTCCATGTCCTCTTCTGAATCCAGCTTGAATTTCTGGCGGCTGTCTGTCGATAGACTGCTGCAACTGTTGTTGACTTGTCACCAGTAAAATTCTGCTTGCATGTGGTATTAGTGATATTGCTTGATCATATCCACATTCTGTTGGGTCATCTCTCTTTGGAATGGGTATAAATAAGAATCTCAGTCAGTTGGCCAGGTAGCCTGTCTTCCATATTTCTCCTTCAGTATTGCTACTCTAGGTTTGATTTATTTCTTTAATTCTTTACATTGAGAAGGGAGCAAGATGAGGATTTGTACTCCCGTAAAAAGTTACAGTCTCAGGGCAGTTCGACCCTGCCCTATGCTGTTGCTTTGAGGAACAATGTCCTCCCAGGCCGTGAGTGTTTGGGGTTAAGCTTGAGAAATGCTGGGTGTGTTCTTTTGGCTTTCTAACTCTACATCTTTGACATTTTATTTTAATGCATTGTGTCGAGATGCCTTTTGAAATCTTTTGTTCAGCTCGTTTAGTTCATCATTTCTTCGTTAGCTTTAGGTAGTCTACATTCAGAAGCACGTTCCAGAGTCTCTTCGGACATACATTTTGACCTTGCCTCTCTGCCTATTCATTTCCGTGACCTTTGGGTTTCTTCAGATGGGCGGTTGCTCACCAACTTGTCTGGTCTTCAGCCATTTGTGTACATTGCCTCATTACTAAATTCAGCTGAAATATAAGCAAAGGAAAATTGTAGCTCTAGTATACCTGTTTTAATTTTTTTTAGCTTCAACATAAACTTGTTTATGAGCAATTGATGGTCTGTTCCACAGTTGACTCCTCAACTTACTCTGACTCATGGTATTGAGCCTCTTTTCACAGATATACTTGATTTAAGTCCTTTGCATTCCGTCTGGCAAAGGCCATGCATATAATTTCTATTTCTGTTGTTGATAAAAGGTATTTCCAAGAAGTCAATTGATCTTGCAAAATCCTATCATGCGATTTTCATCATCATTTTTACCACCAGGGCCTAATTGCTGATCCTTCTGTTTTACTTCCAACTCTCATATTCCAGTCGTCAGCAACCTTATCAATGGCTCTAGGGTGAATGTTTGATCAGCTTCACCCTGAAGCAGTTGGTAAAAATCTGACAGTGAGTGGGCAGGAAAGAGGGAACCGATTACAAGGAACTATATGTGACCTCCTCCCTGGGGGACGGACAACAGAAAAGTGGGTGAAGGGAGACGTCAGATAGGGCAAGATATGACAAAATAACAATTTATAAGCTATCAAGGGCTCATGAGGGAGGGGGGAGCGGGGAGGGAGGGGAAAAATGAGGACCTAATGCCGAGGGTTTAAGTGGAGAGATGTTTTGAGAATGATGAGGGCAATGAATGTACAAATGCGCTTTACACAATTGATGTGTGTATGGATTGTGATGAGTTGTATGAGCCCCTAATAAATGATTTAAAAAAAAAATCTGACAGTGCTGTATTTCAGGGTAGACCCTGAAGTGTTTTTGTAATGATGAATATGCCATTCCTTTTCAGTTTGTCACTTTGGGTGTAGTAAACCATATAATTGTCTGACTCAAAATGGCCAATACCAGACCATTTCAGCTCACTAATGCCCAGGATATTGATCTTTATGTGTTACATTTTTAATAACTTATAATTTTCCTGTCCTTTTCATTTTGAGTTGTGGATCATCAGCAAAATACTTGGCTTCCTCCTAGCCACTTAAAGCTGATTCTACTTTGAGCATGCAGCCTGTTCCCAGTTGTATTTTGAGTGTCTTCCAATCTGAGGGGCTCATCTGAACTGTAGCAGACAGTGTTCAGCTCCTACATATAAGGGCTTAATAAGGGCTGATTTTTCATACGTAGACTGCCTGTTCCTTCCTAGTCTGACTTTGCTCCCTGGAAGCCCTGCTGCAACACGCTACCATGGGCGTTTCTACTTGTGCTCGATATACTGGTGGCATTACAACAACAGACAAGCCACCCGAGTACAACAAACTGACAGCCAAGGGGACTGTGTGGAATGACTTTCTGGGTGTGCTCCAGTTTAAGAAATACTGGGTATGTCTGATAGTGTGATTTGTGTGGTTGGCTTTGATTGATTTAACTAGTAGCATCTTAATACTTTTGGAGAAATTTGATAAACGTATGTACTGTTAGCAATTAAAATCGTCTTTTGATAAAAATCTTTATTTTACAACTGTCTTATATAGTTACATAAAGCTTTGTTTTGTGTGGTCCATACATTATCCTAATGTCCTTTGACCTGTTGTAATGATCATGCAATTTTTATTGTTTAATTCTAACCGTAGGATTATGAATCAGTTCTTGTGCGTGTGCATTTAAGATACAGCACTATCCTTGTGTTACTAGGTTAAACCTTAGCCATAGTTATTTGTAATTTAGGGTTTCCTGGTAGTTGGTAATTTTTTTTTAAGATACTGATTTACAACCAATTTCATTACCAACATTAATAATACATTTTGTGTTTGTAATTTACTTTCTGTTATTCTGTGTCTAATACAAATGAATTTTAAATTATTTACTTTGTGATAAGGAAAATAGCGTGTTATTGTGGGACATGTATTTGAATTTTTGAACTAATATAAAAACGTTTAAATAATCACTTTTTTCTCCCAAGGCATCCTTTGTGTGGCTGACCAGTGCCATGGCCTGCGTGAACTGGCCCTCAACTATCACTTGCTCAGTGATGAGTTGCTACTTGCTTTGTCTTCTGAAAAGCATGTCCGATTAGAACATTTGCGCATTGATGTCGTCAGTGAGAATCCCGGACAGACACACTTCCATACCATTCAGAAGAGCAGCTGGGATGCTTTCATCAGACACTCCCCCAAAGTGAACTTAGTGATGTATTTCTTTCTGTATGAAGAAGAATTTGACCCATTCTTTCGTTATGAAATTCCTGCCACCCACCTTTACTTTGGGAGGTCAGTAAGCAAAGATGTGCTTGGCCGGGTGGGAATGACATGCCCTAGACTGGTTGAACTAGTCGTGTGTGCCAATGGGTTACGGCCGCTTGATGAAGAGTTGATTCGCATTGCAGAGCGTTGTCAAAACCTGTCAGCGATTGGACTGGGGGAATGCGAGGTCTCCTGCAGTGCCTTTGTTGAGTTTGTGAAGATGTGTGGTGGCCGCCTGTCTCAGTTATCTATTATGGAAGAAGTCTTGATTCCTGACCAGAAGTACAGTGTGGAGCAGATTCACTGGGAAGTGTCCAAGCATCTTGGTCGGGTTTGGTTTCCAGATATGATGCCCACATGGTAGAGAGCACAGATGTAAGGCAGGATGGAGAGTAGCACCTTAACTTTAAGCAGACAGTGTTACGATGAAAGATTCATTTGTTGTCGTTCTGATGTACTTCTGCTCTGTGGCACGGAACTTTGATACTTAACCGAGAGTATACATGGATTGTTTATTGGAAGACTCTCAGACCAGTTTAGGTCAGAAAGATCCAGGTGTTTTTTAGCCTAATAGCAATCAAATTTCAAAGGCGGGCGGGGGCGGGAGGTGAAGTATTAAAGTAATGATAAATTTAAAATATTAAGCATTTTAAGTTCGAAGGAACCAATACTTAACACATTAAAATATTCAAGAAGTGAGTGTGGATAGGTTTTCCAAAATGTTATGTTCTCTATGCATTTTTAAAAAATGTAAACTAGACATTTTAGGGACTTCAGTTACACATACACCTGTTATAAGGTGTTTAATATAGCTCAGGAAAGTGAGCATTTTGTGAGAAAAATGTAAGATATGTTGTAGCTCATGAAAAAAGATTGGTTGAATGTTCTGTTAAAAATTGTTTAAAGAAAAAGGTATGTAGGAGGGAGTTGCCACAAACTTATAGAAAAATTCCATTAGCTGTTAATTCTGTTTTTCCATGAACTTTCTGAATCTCCCTCATGTAAGTAAAGGAGATACTCAGAACTCTGGGGCCTGGTGTACAGTAATGGCTATTTCATCAAGGTAACAACAGAGCCAAGATCAAATTAGAAAACACACAGTGGAAGGGGGCAGTTTAGCTAGGTCTAAAGCGTGAGGTTTGCTCTGTAATCTGACCATCTAATTCCCTTCTGTTCTATGTGAGCTTGTATGTGGGACTTGAAACACTTACGTGAAAAGTATGGAATGGTTGGTCATCTCTTGACTTTATCTGCCTAAACTATGTTTTGAAGTTATTATAGGATCATCAGAATGGATTGCTTATCTATTTTTTTTAAAAAGCCAAATTGAAATAAAGGCAGAACTTCTAAATGTTTGTAAATTATTTCTGTGAAAGAATATTAGTCTCCATTGAGTTTTAGAAGGCTCAGTTTTCCAGTTTGGAATTGTGTTATATAAGCAGAATTCCTAAGAATAATAAAAAACTCATCAAAGTACAGTTTGTCATACACAATGCCTATAAAAGAAGAGATATTTTTGAGCAAGTACTGTTGAGTGCACTGGAAAATGCAGAGGAAAATGTCATGAAATTCTGTGATTAATTTGGTTAAACTACTTTATGTCATTTATGTTCCATAGCATTTTAAATTACTTCCATGAATAAAGCTAATCCATGCATTGTAGAATCTGTAAAAAATGCCGAGTGTGGGGAGGGATACATTTAGTTTCTCTCCAGATATTACACACCTTTGACTGGGTGGTAGTGCAAGTAGAGAATAACTCCCAACGGGACTTGGAAGCAGTTTATCCCCAGTGGGACCTAGTCATAGTTGACATGACTCTTCTCGGTAGTGTAACTCTGGGGAAGTAACTGGGCAGTTAGTTACAGAAGCACTCAGTCTCTCAGATCTACTCTGGAGATTCTATTCTGTAGTCACAGGCATTTGAAAAGGGAGAAAAAAGAACCAGACTTAAAGGTGAACAGCAATTATTGTTATAGTTTCCTCTTACTAAATAGAATCTTTGATTTTAGGAGAAATACCCGTGTTATTGGTTAAGCTGTTTTCCTTGAACAACCTGGAAAATGAGCATGGTTGTACATAATCCGTTCTAGCCAAAGCTGTACTTGGAAATTTACTTTTTGTACAAATGAAATTATAAAATGTTTGAAGTACTTTCAAGTCATTTTATAAATAAAATGCATAGTACTTAATTTGTTTATAATGTAAAGTAAATGTTAAATGCCTTTATCAATTTGAGAATAAAGAGTTACTTATGCTGTTGTATTTAAATTTTTAAAAACGATTTCCAGGACTTTAAAACTAAGAAGCGTATGGTTTGGGTTTTAGCTCCATGGAAGATATTAAGAAAGCCTGTGGTAGACTAGTGCTTTTGAAGACATAACATTGGGAAAAGTCTATTCTTGAAATAATCCTGTTGCTGCCCAACCCAATGCCACTGAATCATTCCAAATTATAGTGACCCTGTAGGGCAGTGGTTCCCAACCTTCCTCATCCCACGACCCTGTC